CTCTCAGATACACTCTTTCTTTAACACTGACACTCTCTCTTTCGAGTTAACTTTCTCAATAATTCTCCGCTTCAATCCTAAACGTTGTCTCTCTCACTCTTATCTCTGTGGAATGAAGCTCTGGAAAGGAAAAGGCTCACATGACACCAAAGTGTCGGCACCACAACGGAAGTGGCCTTCCCCCCCACTCCCCACCCACGTTGTGGGACATTGGTTGGAGAGGAGATATGGGGGAGTGGGTTTGTCTTAGTGGAGCTACAGCCTCCACCAAAGTATAGCCTGGGAACAAGAGGTCATAAAATTAGTCGTTGCATCGGAGACGTAGAGTGAACAGTGTGGAGAGTGGGCGACATGGAGCCGTGGCTACTCCGGCCCTGAACCTCTATTTCTCTCTGTCTCACAATCGTCTGTGTTGATGGGTTTTATTTCTGCGGAGACTGAGGGCAGGTGTTGGTGGGGGAGGGGCTGGTGTGTGTGTGTGTATAGAATCGAGTCGTTGTGTATCCTGTGTGAGGTTTATGTACGAGAGATCTGTCTCTCTCTCACGCTGTGCCCTTCTCTCGCAGCGCAGTAATACACCCCCTCCTGGGTTGGGTTCATGCTGGTGATCTCCAGGGTGGAGTTCATGTTGTCGGGTGTTGTGGTAATGTTGTAGTCAGGTCTCTCATGCGTTATCACTGAGTAAACGCCATACCCGATCAATGTGAGGCCTCCCTGATGGGGTTGGAGGTACCAGAGCATCGTATTAAGGGAGCTGTCATCCTGGTGACAATTCAAAGTCACTGTCTCCCCCTCTCTGGCTGTGACTGTCCGCGGCCACTGAGTCACCAAAGCTCCCAGTGACAGACCTGCAAAGGCAATATAACATCCATCATCCTGTCCACGAGAAGGTCCTAGTCTGATTCCCAGAATTACATACACATACGGGCGCACACACTCACACATATACACATACACATACATACACAGAGTCAGATCTTCTCAGACAGAGAGAGTGGAGGATGATATGAAATCCCAGTGGAATTGGGCACCTGAGGGGAATTGAGAGATGTTGAGAGATACTCACAAGGCCATAGGATGGAGATCAGAGACATAGTGAGAAAGGACAGACTCATTGTTGGCAGAGACTTGGATTAACATTGGGATCCTCACACCTCAGTTCTCTCTTCCTCCCTCTTTATCCTCACACGCGGTCACACACTGTATCTCACACTCTTTTTATCTCTCACATCGACTCTCTCTATCTCTCTCTGACTCTTTTTTTTCTGTGGACTGAAGCTCTGACGGATTGAATGCACCAATGACACCAAAGTATTTGAAGCATTTCACAACCCCCAACCTCCACCCCCACCCCGTGGGATGGGAGAGTGAATCAGTGACGCTGCAGCCTCCCCTCGGGGATAGACTTGTAACTACAGAGTGCAAAGTTTTTCCCAATTTTAGATATGGAGACCTGGAGAAGATACGCTGTAGGAAGTTGGCTCAATGGAGGCAGGGAGATGGTTAGTATTGTGTGTTTGTGTGCGTTCGACATGAGGCAGTTACTACTGTGTGTGTATTGGGGAGTTGGAATTAGACAGAGAAGAGTCAGGGAAAGTTAAGCACTCATGTTGGTGACTATGGAAGGGAAGTGTGAATGATAATTATCTGTGTGGCAGGCGATAGGCAGTGAGGGGGTTAATTCAATGTGATTTTGTAGATGCAGTCGGGGACCGTCTTATCTTTTTGTGTCGGTGTCTCAGAAGGTGTGAGAGACAGACCCACCCCATGTTTGCCGGCCATGAAGACCCATGAAGGCGCTGAGTAAACCCCAGTTCTTGTTGGCTTTGAGTTGGAGAGTCAGTGAGTTTGGGAGTCAGTGTGTGTGAGTGTGAGAGTGTCAGTGAGGCAGTGAGTGTGTGAGTGAGTCGGTGGGTGTGTGTGTTCCCCGCACTGACTGCTTTAATCGGGGACAGAGACAGAGACACAGAGGGAACAGTGTGGAGAGTGGGCGACATGGAGCCGTGGCTACTCCGGCCCTGAACCTCGATTTCTCTCTGTCTCTCAATCGTCTGTGTTGATAGATTTTATTTCTGCAGAGACTGAGGGCAGGTGTTGGCGCGGGAGGGGCTGGTGTGTGTGTGTATAGAATCGAGTGGTTGTGTATCCTGTGTGAGGTTTATGTACGAGAGATCTGTCTCTCTCTCACGCTGTGCCCTTCTCTCGCAGCGCAGTAATACACCCCCTCCTGGGTTGGGTTCATGCTGGAGATCTCCAGGGATGATTTATTTTTGTCATTACTCTGTGTAATGTTGTAACCAGATTCAAAGCCTTTCTCATACGTTGGGTTTGACAAATAACCGTATCCGATCAATGTGAGGCCTCCCTGATGGGGTTGGATGTACCAGAGCATCATATTAAGGGATTTGTCGTTGTGGCTACATCTCAAAGTCACTGTCTCCCCCTCTCTGGCTGTGACTGTCCGCGGCCTCTGAGTCACCAAAGCTCCCAGTGACAGACCTGCAAAGACAATATAACATCCGTCATCCTGACCACAGGGAATGTCCTGGTCTGATCCTCGGAATTACATACACATACGGGCGCACACACTCACACATACACATACACACACATACACAGAGCCGGATCTTCTCAGACAAAGAGAGGGGAGGATGATATGAAATCCCAGTGTATTTGGGAGCCTGAGGGGAATTGAGAGATGTTGAGAGATACTCACAGGGCCATAGGATGGAGATCAGAGAGACAGTGAGAAAGGACAGACTCATTGTTGGCAGAGACTTGGATTAACTTTGGGAACCTCACACCAGAGCACAGGTTCCTCTCTCTATCTGTGTCTCTCTGTCTCTCCCTCTCTCTATGTCTCTGGAATGAAGCTCTGACAGAGTAAAGTCTGCACCACATCGGAAGTGGACCTCACCTCCCCCCAGTGATGGGAGGTGGAGCTGGGGAGGAGGGGAGGTGTCTTAGTGAAGCTACAGCCTCCCCCAGGGTATGAACTGGGTACAGCGGGTCCCAAAATTGGTTCCAAATTCAGAGATAGAGACACAGATGCATCTGGAATGCGTTGCCTGAAAGGCTGGTGGAAGCCCATTCGATAGCAGCTTTTATGAGAGAAGCAGAGGATTTGGGGAGGACAAGTTTGCAGGTTATGGGGTGAGAGGGGGGGAGTGGGGTCGAATTGGAAGCTCTTTTCAACAACCGGCACAGACACGATGAGCCGAATGGCCTCCATGTGCGCTGTATAATTCTACGATTCGACATCGGAAGTGGGTCTCGTGCCCCACCCACTAGTGGGGCATTGGTGGGAGGTTTGAGATGAGGTGAAAGGGAAGCCTTTTCGTGAAGTTACAGCCTCCCCCGGGGTATTGGTCAGGAACACGAGATCACTAAATTGGTCCCAGATTCAGAGACACAGAGGGAACAGTGTGGAGAGTGGGCGACATGGAGCCGTGGCTACTCCGGCCCTGAACCTCGATTTCTCTCTGTCTCTCAATCGTCTGTGTTGATGGGTTTTATTTCTGCAGAGACTGAGGGCAGGTGTTGGTGGGGGAGGGGCTGGTGTGTGTGTGTGTGTATAGAATCGAGTCGTTGTGTATCCTGTGTGAGGTTTATGTACGAGAGATCTGTCTCTCTCTCACGCTGTGCCCTTCTCTCGCAGCGCAGTAATACACCCCCTCCTGGGTTGGGTTGATGTTGGTGATCTCCAGGGTGGAGTTCATGTTGTCCGGTGTCTTGGTAATGTTGTAGCCGGATTTAAACTTGTCCTCATATACGGTTGAATATTGGTTATATCCGATCAATGTGAGGCCTCCCTGATGGGGTTGGAGGTACCAGAGCATTATTAAATAGTCTTTGTTATTCTGGTGACAATTCAAACTCACTGTCTCCCCCTCTCTGGCTGTGACTGTCCGCGGCCTCTGAGTCACCAAAGCTCCCAGTGACAGACCTGCAAAGACAATATAACAGTTAGATCCGCCGACAGGGAATCTGGGCTGAATGTCCTGGGGGGTGTTCAATGGATTACGCACACACACAAAGCGCGATCATCGCGGACCGAGAGAGGATGTGATATGAAATCCGTGTGGATTTGAGAGTTTACGGGGATGAGAGAGATGTTGAGAGATACTCACAGGGCCAGAGGATGGAGATCAGAGAGACAGTGAGAAAGGATAGACTCATTCTTCGCAGAGACTTGGATTAACATTGGGAACCTCACACCAGAGCTCAGGTTCCTCTCTCTGTCACTGTCTCTCTGTCTCTCCCTCTCTCTGTATCTCTGGAATGAAGCTCTGACAGAGTAAAGTCTGCACGACTTCGGAAGTGGGCCTCACCTCCCCCCAGTGATGGGAGGTGGAGCTGGGGAGGAGGGGAGGTGTCTTAGTGAAGCTACAGCCTCCCCCGGGGTATGAACTGGGTACAGCGGGTCCCAAAATTGGTTCCAAATTCAGAGATAGACACACAGATGCATCTGGAATGCGTTGCCTGAAAGGCTGGTGGAAGCCCATTCGATAACAGCTTTTATGAGACAAGTAGATACCTATTTGGGGAGGACAAGTTTGCAGGTTATGGGGTGAGGGGGGGAGTGGGGTTGAATTGGAAGCTCTTTTCAAAGACCGGCACAGACACGATGAGCCGAATGGCCTCCATCTGCGCTGTATAATCCTGTGATTCTACATCGGTCTCGTGCCCCACCCACCAGTGGGGCATTGGTGGGAGGTTTGAGATGTGGGGAAAGGGAAGCCTTTTAGTGAAGTTACAGCCTCCCCCGGGGTATTGGTCAGGAACACGAGATCACAAAATTGGTCCCAGATTCAGAGACACAGAGGGAACAGTGTGGAGAGTGGGCGACATGGAGCCGTGGCTACTCCGGCCCTGAACCTCTGTTTCTCTCTGTCTCTCAATCGTCTGTGTTGATGGGTTTTATTTCTGCAGAGACTGAGGGCAGGTGTTGGCGAGGGAGGGGCTGGTGTGTGTGTGTGTGTATAGAATCGAGTGGTTGTGTATCCTGTGTGAGGTTTATGTACGAGAGATCTGTCTCTCTCTCACGCTGTGCCCTTCTCTCGCAGCGCAGTAATACACCCCCTCCTGGGTTGGGTTCATGTTGGAGATCTCCAGGGATGATTTCTTCTTGTCATTACTCTGTGTAATGTTGTAACCAGATTCAAAGCCTTTCTCATACGTTGGGTTTGACATAAAGGCATATCCGATCAATGTGAGGCCTCCCTGATGGCGTTGGATGTACCAGAGCATCATATCAAGGGATTTGTCGTTGTGGCTACATTTCAAACTCACTGTCTCCCCCTCTCTGGCTGTGACTGTCCGCGGCCTCTGAGTCACCAAAGCTCCCAGTGACAGACCTGCAAAGACAATATAACAATGAGATCCCGCCGACAGGGAATCTGGGCTGAATGTCCTGGGGGGTGTTCAATGGATTACGCACACACACAAAGCGCGATCATCGCGGACAGAGAGAGGTGTGATATGAAATCCCTGTGGATTTGAGAGTTTACGGGGATGAGAGAGATGTGGAGAGATACTCACAGGGCCAGAGGATGGAGATCAGAGAGACAGTGAGAAAGGACAGACTCATTGTTGGCAGAGACTTGGATTAACATTGGGAACCTCACACCAGAGCTCAGGTTCCTCTCTCTCTCACATACTCTCACTCTTTAACACTCACACTCTCTCTTTCGGGTTAACTTTCTCAATAACTCTCCACCTCAATCCTAACCGTTGTCTCTCTCACTCTATCTCTGCGGAATGAAGCTCTGGAAAAGGAAAGTCTCCAATGACACCAAAGTGTCGGCACCACAACGGAAGTGGCCTCTCCCCCCACCCACCTTGTGGGACATTGGTTAGAGAGGAGATGTGGCGGAGTGGGGATGTCTTAGTGAAGCTACAGCCTCCACCAAAGTATGGCCTGGGAACAGTTGCTCATAAAATTAGTCGTTGGTTCGGAGACGTAGAGTGAACAGTGTGGAGAGTGGGCGACATGGAGCCGTGGCTACTCCGGCCCTGAACCTCGATTTCTCTCTGTCTCTCAATCGTCTGTGTTGATGGGTTTTATTTCTGCAGAGACTGAGGGCAGGTGTTGGCGGGGGAGGGGTTGGTGTGTGTGTGTATAGAATCGAGTGGTTGTGTATCCTGTGTGAGGTTTATGTACGAGAGATCTGTCTCTCTCTCACGCTGTGCCCTTCTCTCGCAGCGCAGTAATACACCCCCTCCTGGGTTGGGTTGATGTTGGTGATCTCCAGGGTGGAGTTCATGTTGTCCGGTGTCTTGGTAATGTTGTAGCCGGATTTAAACTTGTCCTCATATTCGGTTGAGTATCGGTTATATCCGATCAATGTGAGGCCTCCCTGATGGGGTTGGATGTACCAGAGCATTGTATTGTCAGTACTGGCAGTATTGTCCTGGTGACAATTCAAACTCACTGTCTCCCCCTCTCTGGCTGTGACTGTCCGCGGCCTCTGAGTCACAAAAACTCCCAGTGACAGACCTGCAAAGACAATATAACAATGAGATCCCTCCAACAGGGAATCTGGGCTGAATGTCCTGGGGGGTGTTCAATGGATTACGCACACACCAACAGGGGAATCATCATGGACAGCAATGGAGGCCGGGGCAGTGGGGAGGGGAGGTTATGAAATCCCTGTGGATTTGAGCGTTTACGGGGATGAGAGAGATGTTGAGAGATACTCACAGGGCCAGAGGATGGAGATCAGAGAGACAGTGAGAAAGGACAGACTCATTGTTGGCAGAAACTTGGATTAACATTGGAAACCTCACACCTCAGTTCTCTCTTCCTCCCTCTTTATCCTCACACGCGGTCACACACTGTATCTCACACTCTTTTTATGTCTCACATCGACTCTCTCTCTCTCTCTGACTTTTTTTTGTGGACTGACGCTCTGACGGATTGAAGGCACCAATGACACCAAAGTATTCAAAAGATATCACAACCCCCAACTCCCCCCCCACCCCCACACCCCCCACCCTGTGGGACAGGAGAGTGAATCAGTGACGCTGCAGCCTCCCCTCGGGCATAGACTTGTAACTACAGAGTGCAAAATTGTTCCCAGGTTTAGATATGGAGATACACAGAAGATACGGTGGAGGAAGTTGGCTCAATGGAGGCAGGAAGATGGTTAGTATTGTGTGTTTGTGTGTGTTCAACATGAGGCAGTTACTTGTGTGTTTGTGTGCGTGTGTTGGGGGTTGGGATGAGACAGAAACGAATCAGGGAAAGTTAAGCACTCGTGTTGGTGACTATGGAAGAGAAGTGTGAATGATAATTATCTGTGGAAGGCGATAGGCAGTGAGGAGCTTAATTCAATGTGATGTTGTAGATGCGGTCGGGGACCGTCTTACAATATTAATAACAATAATAATCCTTGCATTTGATAAAGTGTTTTTCACGTCTTCCAGACATCTCAAAGCGCTTCACAGAAGAGACTATCAAATGAATTGACCGTATATTTGTGGGTGGAATGTGGCAGCCAATTGCGCACAGCAGCGTCCCACAAACAAACAGTCGCGGATTGAAACGACTAATTTATCATTGTTGTTTTATTTTCAGGGATTATTATCAGGTTTGTGGAGTAGGGAAACTTGCCCGAGGTTTCACATCGCTGGGAATCGAACCCAGGTCTCTCGCTCGCAAAGCGAGTGCTCTAACCACTGAGCTCCAGGACTCCACATCCTTTATTGTCCGTGTCTCAGAAGGTGTGAGAGACAGACCCACCCCATGTTTGCCGGCCATGAAGACCCATGAAGGCGCTGAGTAAACCCCAGTCCTTGTTGGCTTTGAGTTGGAGAGTCAGTGAGTTTGGGAGTCAGTGTGTGTGAGTGTGAGAGTGTCAGTGAGGCAGTGAGTGTGTGAGTGAGTCGGTGGGTGTGTGTGTTCCCTGCACTGACTGCTTTAATCGGGGACAGAGACAGAGACACAGAGGGAACAGTGTGGAGAGTGGGCGACATGGAGCCGTGGCTACTCCGGCCCTGAACCTCGATTTCTCTCTGTCTCTCAATCGTCTGTGTTGATGGGTTTTATTTCTGCAGAGACTGAGGGCAGGTGTTGGCGGGGGAGGGGCTGGTGTGTGTGTGTGTGTATAGAATCGAGTGGTTGTGTATCCTGTGTGAGGTTTATGTACGAGAGATCTGTCTCTCTCTCACGCTGTGCCCTTCTCTCGCAGCGCAGTAATACACCCCCTCCTGGGTTGGGTTCATGTTGGCGATCTCCAGGGTGGAGTTCATGTTGTCCGGTGTCTTGGTCATGTTGTAGCCGGATTTAAACTTGTCCTCATATACTGTTGAGGCTTGGTTATATCCGATCAATGTGAGGCCTCCCTGATGGGGTTGGATGTACCAGAGCATTATAAAATAGTCTTTGTTATTCTGGTGACAATTCAAACTCACTGTGTCCCCCTCTCTGGCTGTGACTGTCCGCGGTCCCTGAGTCACCAAACCTCCCAGTGACAGACCTGCAAAGACAATATAACAGTGAGATCCGCCGACAGGGAATCTGGGCTGAATGTCCTGGGGAGTGTTCAATGGATTACGCACACACACAAAGCGCAATCATCGCGGACAGAGAGAGGTGTGATATGAAATCCCTGTGGATTTGAGAGTTTACGGGGATGAGAGAGATGTTGAGAGATACTCACAGGGCCAGAGGATGGAGATCAGAGAGACAGTGAGAAAGGACATTGTTGGCAGAGACTTGGATTAACATTGGGAACCTCACACCAGAGCTCAGGTTCCTCTCTCTATCTGTATCTCTCTGTCTCTCCCTCTCTCTATGTCTCTGGACTGAAGCTCTGACAGAGTAAAGTCTGAACCATATCGGAAGTGGGGCCTCACCTCCCCCCAGTGATGGGAGGTGGAGCTGGGGAGGAGGGGAGGTGTCTTAGTGAAGCTACAGCCTCCCCCGGGGTATGAACTGGGTACAGCGGGTCCCAAAATTGGTTCCAAATTCAGAGATAGGGACACAGATGCATCTGGAATGCGTTGCCTGAAAGGCTGGTGGAAGCCCATTCGATAACAGCTTTCATGAGACAAGTAGATACCTATTTGGGGAGGACAAGTTTGCAGGTTATGGGGAGAGAGCGGGGGAGTGGGGTTGAATTGGAAGCTCTTTTCAAAGACCGGCACAGACACGATGAGCCGAATGGCCTCCATCTGCGCTGTATAATTCTGTGATTCTACATCGGTCTCGTGCCCCACCCACCAGTGGGGCATTGGTGGGAGGTTTGAGATGTGGGGAAAGGGAAGCCTTTTAGTGAAGTTACAGCCTCCCCCGGGGTATTGGTCAGGAACACGAGATCACAAAATTGGTCCCAGATTCAGAGACACAGAGGGAACAGTGTGGAGAGTGGGCGACATGGAGCCGTGGCTACTCCGGCCCTGAACCTCGATTTCTCTCTGTCTCTCAATCGTCTGTGTTGATGGGTTTTATTTCTGCAGAGACTGAGGGCAGGTGTTGGTGGGGGAGGGGCTGGTGTGTGTGTGTATAGAATCGAGTGGTTGTGTATCCTGTGTGAGGTTTATGTACGAGAGATCTGTCTCTCTCTCACGCTGTGCCCTTCTCTCGCAGCGCAGTAATACACCCCCTCCTGGGTTGGGTTCATGTTGGCGATCTCCAGGGTGGAGTTCATGTTGTCCGGTGTCTTGGTAATGTTGTAGCCGGATTTAAACTTGTCCTCATATGTGGTTGAATATTGGTTATATCCGATCAATGTGAGGCCTCCCTGATGGGGTTGGATGTACCAGAGCATCGTATAAAGGGAGCTGTCGTCCTGGTGACAATTCAAACTCACTGTCTCCCCCTCTCTGGCTGTGACTGTCCGCGGCCCCTGAGTCACCAAAGCTCCCAGTGACAGACCTGCAAAGGCAATATAACATCAGGTCATCCTGCCCACAGGGAATGTCCTGGTCTGATTCCTGTAATTACACACAAATACAAACTCACATTCACACAAACACATCCCTCATCTCAAACACAGAGAGGATTTGGATATGAAATCGCAGTGAATTTGGGAGCCTGAGGGGGATTGGGAGATGTTGAGACATACTCACGGGGCCAGAGGATGGAGATCAGAGAGACAGTGAGAAAGGACAGACTCATTGTTGGCAGAGACTTGGATTAACATTGGGAACTTCACACCAGAGCTCAGGTTCCTCTCTCTGTCACTGTCTCTCTGTCTCTCCCTCTCTCTATGTCTCTGGAATGAAGCTCTGGCAGAGTAAAGTCTGTACCACATCGGAAGTGGGCCTCACCTCCCCCCAGTGATGGGAGGTGGAGCTGGGGAGGAGGGGAGGTGTCTTAGTGAAGCTACAGCCTCCCCCGGGGTATGAACTGGGTACAGCGGGTCCCAAAATAGGTTCCAAATTCAGAGATAGAGACACAGATGCATCTGGAATGCGTTACCTGAAAGGCTGGTGGAAGCCCATTCGATAACAGCTTTTATGAAAGAAACAGATACCTATTTGGGGAGGACAAATTTGCAGGTTATGGGGAGAGAGCGGGGGAGTGGGGTTGAATTGGAAGCACTTTTCAAAGACCGGCACAGACACAATGAGCTGAATGGCCTCCATCTGCGCTATATGATTCTACGAATCTACATCGGAAGTGGGTCTCATGCCCCACCCACCAGTGGGGCATTGGTGGGAAGTTTGAGATGAAGCCTTTTAGTGAAGTTGCAGCCTCCCCCGGGGTATTGGTCAGGAACACGAGATCACTAAATTGGTCTCAGAGTCAGAGACACAGAGGGAACAGTGTGGAGAGTGGGCGACATGGAGCCGTGGCTACTCCGGCCCTGAACCTCGATTTCTCTGTCTCTCAATCGTCTGTGTTGATGGGTTTTATTTCTGCAGAGACTGAGGGCAGGTGTTGGTGGGGGAGGGGCTGGTGTGTGTGTGTATAGAATCGAGTCGTTGTGTATCCTGTGTGAGGTTTATGTACGAGAGATCTGTCTCTCTCTCACGCTGTGCCCTTCTCTCGCAGCGCAGTAATACACCCCCTCCTGGGTTGGGTTCATGCTGGAGATCTCCAGGGATGATTTCTTCTTGTC